GATCACTCTTGATATAATTGCCATCTCGGATCCTGAGAAAGCATATACGAAAGTCCTTAGCCTGCAAACGCATTGATTCTTCCTTCATGGTGGCTATACCACATCTACGTCTCATCAGTGCCCCGGAGCTTCTGGCATAATTTATCTCTCAATAATAGTAGGGAGAGCCCAAGAGCTAGGCCAGCCCACGGGCAATCCAGCACCTATGGCCAGGCTTGTACCCAGTGTTACAAGGCAAAATGCCGCTGTGTGCGGACCTCAGTGGGTGAAGATTGCGAAAGGTCACTTCATGATACCGGTCTGCGAATACATGACAGTCGACTGATTATTCCTCAGATGTGTCCGTCTCAAGAAGACGTGTCAGCCCTCAGAGTCGGTTCGCAAACGAAATGCCCATGTAGCTGAAGAGTCTGATATTTACACGGATCGCTCGATTGGAAAACAAAATGGAGAGTTTGCTATCGGCAGTGCAATCTTTGGCCGGTTCCCTAGAGGCCCCTAGAGCCTCGGTCAATAATATCCAGCCTTTTCAGCTTCTCAATGCAGACCACATTTTGCCCTCTACTCCTTTTTCGAATTGCACACTAGTAAACAACAGTTCAAGCACCAGTCTAGGCTTCAGTGAGGTATCGTCGTCTTCGAGGCCCTCGATTTCCGCAGCAACACCGCATCCTAATCAACTATTTCTATCCTCGCATTATTCTCTATCCTCTGCTCCCTCGTTATATCCAGCGGACGAACGGCTCAATTTTTTCCGGTCCCGAATGCTACCATATTTCCCTTTCATCGATATTTCCGCTGATATGACATGCGGATATCTGCATCAAAACAGGCCTTTTTTGCTCCAAGCCATCCACGCCGTAACCACATTCTCAACGCAGGAAAGGGTAGTCCAAGTTGAAGAGCTCAAGCGCCTCCTGTTCACATCTGCTTTGCTCAAAGTCCAGTCAAATATCGACTTACTCCTTGGATTATTGACTTGCCTTGCATGGAGCAGCGACGCATTTCTCGGAAGAGCGGACCTCGTTTCTTGTCTGATGATGCTCGCCATTTCACTGGTATACGATTTACGGCTGTTCAAACCATCCTCAATAGATGTGGAAGTCATGATGTCTATGACGCAGGGTTGGGCTGAAGAAAGTCCTCGGAACCTCGACGATGAAACCCCTTACGGCATATTGGAGAGGCAGCGGGCAGTGCTGGCATGTTTCATTTTGAGCTCTAAGTGCGCACAGAATTTTTTGATTGCCCATAATCTCTTAATTACTGTCTTTATTTCCTAAGGTCAGATTATATTAACATCAGACTCCTAGTGTTTCGTCACACCTTGGGCGTCAAGATGCAATACGGTGGACACCTCAGATGGACGAGGCGCTTCGAGTCATCACAATGGACAACTCATGCCCTACGGATAAACTATTTGTCGCCCAAGTACGGCTGCAGCTGCTCAAGCAAAAAGCGGAGTACGTTCGACAAATAGAAGAGACCGGGTTTGCTCGCCCAGGATCAGCTACTTCGCCGGCCACGGCTCCTCGCTTATTGTATTTGAAGTCCCTCCGAAGACAGATGCATGAGTTAAAATCTTCGTTTCCCCCAGATCTCGCCCAGATAGGCAAGTAGATACTCTGGCAAATAACCTAGTAGATTGTGTCCACCACAAGAGTGCTGATGCCTTCGCCTGGGGAGACACCCAGGGTTCACTTGTAGATATTCTCAGTACACATGCGCAATACGTCGAATTATACATAAATCACTTAGCTTATTCCATAAGCCAAAGTTCGCCGCCTCCTGATACATCCGGACGACAGAGCGACAGCTGGATATTACCGGGATTCGAACGCCTGGAGTGCTTGTGGCAGTCGGTCGAGAACATCAAAGCATGGCTAGACGATTTCTACAAAATCCCCTGCTCAAAGCTGCCCGGTCAGCCGTTTCATTTTTGGTCACAGATGATTCTGACCATCACACTTCTAAAATACCTATCCACGCTCAAGGACCCAGAATGGGATTGCCATGCGGTGCGGAATAAGGTGCACCTGATATCAACAATGGACGACCTGCTCCAAAAGCTCGCGCTAAGCAGCAAGGAGCCGGAACTCCAGTGTGATGATCATCTGCTTAAGTATTTATCTAAGCTTCTAGCCAGGTGTCGGGTGTGGGGTGAAATTCGGTGGAACATGGCTTCTCAGGTGCAAGACGTAGAGTCTAGACAGGAGGACCGGGCAACCACCCCTGACACTACCTCCCACAGCCATTCCCATATCCCGGATCTAGATCAGATGGCCTGGATGCAGTCGATGGATTTGGGCGATGATCAGTGGTTTGAAGACGTGTTGGGTATACCGACGACATTCTATTAGTTTGCAGGATTTGTGTGGATTTATTTTGTATATATTTATATACATATTTAAGTACCGAAGAATGGAAAATAAGTAAACTGTTCAGGCAGTATTGGCAGCATTCAAGGTGCATTTGAAGGCCATCCATGAGCTAGAGCGGTGTGTGTAGTTTGTGTGTAAGTCCTAAGAACGGAAAATGGGGACACGACAGAGGGTTCTGCTTTTGGCTAGGATTGCGACTTGAAGCAGTGAGAAGAATGTACAGAAAAACATGAGATGATAATGGTTTCAAAACAAATAGCTCTAGGCGAGTTGGGGTAGATGAATAACAACGGTAATACTAAATGGCTGGGCCAGCACCTATTAAGTATTGTCAAACCCGAGAAAGAAAAAAAAGGGGAAGTCGGGGGGGAGGGAGGAGCGCGGTTGGGTTATATTTGAGAATCTGGCGACGGGGAAGCTTGAGGATCCAGTTTTTTAAAAAAATTGAAACACCAGAGAGGTATGGAAAGGTGTTGTGCAGCGTTAAGATAAGAAATTTTCCATTGGAACATTTCCAAGTGAACTCGCGTTTAATCCTGAAGGCTTCGGTATCTTATCCCACCCATCCATGCCAATGTTTAAATTTTTTTGAGAAGAGAAATAAGGAAGGAAATTAGAAAAAAGCAAGGGACATTGAAAGCGGCAAAAGAAAAACTCTATTACGCCCTCCCAACAATCGTGCCATTATCCAATCCGATCGTAAATCTAACAAAGTCAAGAGTGAAATCATGGGTTGTGCAATTCACGCCGACTGACCAACCCTTTCGTTTATCTGACTCTCCTGAAGGGTCTCGGAAGAAGGATTGGATCGAATCATGTGCGTTGACTGCATCGGCTAAATCTTCAGTCTCCCCGAATATGAAGAGGACAGCAATTCGGGAGAAGTCTAGTAATTTGGCAGACAGTGGCGGTATGGAGGGAGAATTTGTTGGAGCGGACCATGGCATTGAAGATCTGGTTGGGCTCGCAACATCGGGACTCCGTGGTCTTCTCTCAAGAAGGGCGCGTGTGTGGGTATTGCGATGGTGGATCGATTTGCGAGTTGCGGTGCTTCCCTTGATAGCATTAGGTTTGCGAATTGCTTGTCCATCTCGTTTTCGACTAGCTCCATTAAAGGTCACAAGCGCGTTCTGGCTGGTGCAAGACATACTCTCGTCGTTGAAGAGGCGGAGGATTTTTGGTATGTCAAGTGGAATGCTAAAATTTGCTTGGGAGTCCTCGAACAATCGTAGGAGAGCAGCGCCCAATGTCGCATTTTGGAAGCTAGAAGAATCGTTCGAAACATTGATCGTCGCACAGCTGTTATCTCCTGCAATGGCGCATCTGTCCCCACCGAACCCATTAACGCAAACACATCCGCATGAGCTTGGATTTCCAACGCTGATACCTCCGTTCTTGCAAGGGTCTGTTGCTTCGCAATGTTCAGAGAGAGATGCAGAGGATGGTTGGGAAGCTCGAGGAAGAACAATCAGCGTGACAGGGACTACAACCGCTGTCGAAATGAGCGCGAGCGCGACAATACTGATTAGAATAACTGCCCAGAGGGGCAAACCACAGCACCGCCGCACGCCTTTCTCTGGTCCTTTTTCAACCTTCGAGAGAGACTTAGGGTCGGTATTGGCAAATGGGCCAGGCCACCGGTCATTACCAGCTGGATGGGCAATGACAGGTGGTGGGAATGAAGCCAATATATCGGATATGGAACCGGAATTCCGGGCTCTGTAATCATCACCCGCACTTAAAAAATCAGATATCCCTAGCCTACTCGCCGTCTTTCCACGGTCAAGGTTTGATGCTAGTTTCGTAGCACGACGAATTAGATCAGGCAGGCTTGTTAGACTTCCTCTGGCTTCCGCTCGTCGAACGGCGTCCATGTCAATTTGAGGTGGCCGCTTCTTCTCGTCGCCCTTAGTCACAAAGCTGGAGCTCCGACCTTCCATCTTCAAAGTTGCCTTTGAAGCCTTCGTTTCAAATTGCATGATAGGGATTGGCGGCTTTTCGTAGTCATCGTCCGAAGACGAAGAAGATTCATAATCATCCGAAGGTCGTAATTCTGGTTGGTCCGCTAGGTTTTGTCCCTCGTCGGCGGGATTCATCATCTTTGAATTTGCAGTTTCAGGAATCCCAATAGGTGGAGCCCCCATATTCTCATTAGAGGTCTTGCCGGTTGCCAACTTCTGAGCCTGGCTGCTGCCAACAGACTGATCGCCTTGGGTTCTATTTATTGTACGAAGCGAGGCTTTGCCTCTCTTTCCTAAGCTCGCTTGTCTGACAAGCGAATCACCGGGCTTATCATCTCCATCATTTACGAAGAAATCTTCGTCTGACCCCCTCGGAATATCAGCGTCAGGAGGTGCAGTTCCCCAACTAGATGGAATAACCTTACTCGATGCGTACGAGCCTCCCTTTCTTGGCGTAATCTCAGGAGGCTCTTCGGGGATTGGAGAGACGGAAGCGACACCCAGGTAATATGAGGAGCCTGTTCGGCGTGTTGAAGGGGGGGGATGAACGCTGGAGTTCTCTCTGGCCGGGGGCAAAGTAGCAGAGGGAGTAGGTTGGATTACTTTGGTGCCCAGAGGAGGATGACTTCGAGAATTCGAGTCAACTGATCCGGATACATTATCAGCAGACGGCAAAATCTGCTCTGGGTTTTGAGCCCTTGACTGCTCATTTTGAAGTTGCTGAAAAGATGATGTAGATTTTTCCTGTCGGTAAGGGATGCTAGGGGTATAATCACGGGGTTTTGAAGCATCTAGGAACGACGTGATGTTATCGGGGCGAGCAGGCCGTTGAGGAGCTGGACGCTTAGAGAAATTGACAGTTTTATTTGAATCCCTTCCGTTTTCTCTCGGACCAGCATCCTCATCGCGGAGTGGCCATTGCGGGACAAGCGAAGGCTTTGATATCACAGCCGTTTTGCTCGAATTGTCAAGAGTTTTAAATGCGGCAGGAGGAGGTGGTGGGCGTCTAACGGAGATAGCACCCTGGGGCGTAACTTTTGAAGATCCGGTCAGACTGGCATTTTCCACTGGTCGGATTCCCCTTTCACCGGCCTCCATCCGCTCTCTCGCCCGGCGAACAGAGCCGCCAACTCTACCTCCACTGTCACCTCCGTTTTCCCTCCGAGTGTCACTCATAAGCCCTTAAGTATATTCCTATATTGCCCGTTTTCCAGAGAAAGGTGGTTTAATCTCGAACTATACTGAAATTTTTACAGAATAACACATCGAAACCTCGTGAGAATTTTTGGAGTGGGTCGCATATCGATGCCCTGATCCGAGTCCAGGAAAATATATGAACGCAAGATGATGATATCACTGATTCTGGCCCGATTTTGTTGAAAGCCTCGTAGAAAACAGAGAAATGGCAAGAAAATACGGGGCAAGAAACGTGGACAAGGTGATATCGACTTGCGGGTGGTATCTTGGAATTCACTCTCTCGAAATGCAAGGTCAGAACCAAAACGGGGCACAAAAGACAGTGGTGTGACAGTCTAGTCACTAAGGATAAAAACGATGGTTTGAGGTAAACCGCCTAGCCAGCAGGTGTATATAACCAGCGTAAAACGCAAAGTAGAACTTCAAGTCACGTTGGATGTAAGAACTAGTTGACAAAGGGTATTTGATGCCTGTATCGCTGGTTAGCTTCGCGATCCCAAGTTCGCATATGGACAGAGGCTCTCTAGGGCATCACTTTGCAACAGAAAGTGATGAGGTGCAAAATCGTAGAGCATCAAACTGAATGCCCGTTGCATCCTCCCTTCTCTGCGCCTGGTAGTAGGGGTTTACATGGGAAACAACGAGCACATACCAAAAGGTACCGATGCGTTGTGTCGAAGGGAGCGTAATTGAAATTCAAGGAATGATGGCTTCTTGAATGAGGAATATCGTATGCGATCTCCACCCTTGAAATGCCAAACTCACGACGTCTCAGGACGTCGCTTGGTCCAATAAATAGAATTCTTGACAGGTTTGGAAGAAAAAAAAAATATCAAACACTTTCCTCCTGGAATGAGGACTCCTGCCTCAGACCTAACAACAGCAAGCCGATCTGTTGTGTTCCCAACAATTGCCGTCGTAGCGAACGTCTCGGGGCCTAGCCAACGGCAAGGACGGCAGAGCTTCTAGCTCAGCAAGAAAGGCAGATGAAGAAGCCAAAAAGAAAGAATAGAAATAAAAGAAAGCGCCAAAGGAGCGAACGTCGTCCTTCTCACGACAAAACTGACCAAATTTGCACAACAGCTGAACCCGCAACAACCAACGAAGAAGTCGAAGTACGAAAGAACAAAAGAGAATATCCAGTAAAATGAAAGGGATGATTCCTCCCGCCGTCAACCATCGTGACCAGCTGGAATTTTTCCCCATTCGCTCCCGAGACCAGGCTTGAGAAATTCGAAACAATGGCTCAGGCGTCAAGCTGCTCGTATTGGGAGAGGATCCTCGGGACCGGGTGTTGGGATATTGTCATTGGTGGCCTCCCCGGTGGGATGCTCCGCTTGCAGGGTCTGTTCTTAGGCTCTTTTTCATATTTAGTTAGTCATAATAGTGATGCGCAGAATAGCCAGCTACGGATGGCCTTTCGTGTCAAATATCAACGCCCTCTCCCGTGTCATTGTTCAACTCCCAGGCCCTCTCTACCGATCTTCCCTGACAAATTAAGAAGCGAGGTTGATTTGTTGGCTAAATTCTCTCGCACAATTCGCCATTTCTCGATTTTCCTGTGTGGCCTCAGAGCGTCGATCCGGTATTGCATGTGGCTGAATGTTGACCTTGGTTGGTCCTGGCTCAACGGGATAGAAAACATGTTTTGAACACGAGAATAAACTAGACCGCGGGTACAGATAACGAGAGTTTTGGCATAAAATATGAATCCCAGCCTGTCGGGCTCAATTATAACAAAATGTTGGTGCTCAAGAATCCGTGCCTGAGGTCGTTGGGCAACAAGCAATTCACGATCGTCATGTTGAGGTGAGACATTGGGTTTCAGAATATAAGATAACCGACAAGTGCTTTTTCCTCTATCCATCTGTTTTGAAACAGATACGGTTAAGGCTGCCCATGGAATGGTTGGTGGCACACAAGTGAGTAGAGATCGCAGTCATTTTTTCTGCTGCAACGCGATGGTTATCATCACCAACCCATGTCGAATTCAATACTTGCATGCACGAAATGCTCAAGGTTCATCATTTTCATTTTTATTTCTCAAGGGGGATTTTCGCATATTCCAGGAGCCTCGTAAAGAACCGGCCATAATGTATATGTCATCATTTTCTGAACATTGATTCAATGCAAAGGGATATCATATCCAGTGGATTATCAAGCGGTTGCCCGTCGTGGTTTACTGGAACATGAGCCTGTCTCGCGAAAAATTAAACCAACATTCTATGGTTCATTGGAGCAAAATTTGCTTATGTATCCCTGTCCATGGAGCCTATATTGAGAAGGTTATTCGGGGCCTCCCTGATATACCAACGATCAGCGACGGCGCTTCTCACAGCGTTCTCACAAACGAATATTCAATGCAATTACTAGGGCCATGAATATTCTGCAGAATTGACAGGCACAGAACAAAGTAACGACAATGCGCAATGGCTATTAACAAAGTGCTGTCATTTTCCATAGTGGATCCCGCCTTCTGTGTATGTTGGCTCGGGGTAGGTTGACGATTGACATCGGCAATAGTAATGATTGTTCAATCGCAACTACCGGAATCCCTTCTGGAATGCCTCCCTGTTTGCTATTTCCCAATCTTAGTATATTGATCAATTGTTTACATTATCCAACATCTGACGCCATCCAACTCTCTCCAGCTTTCGTTTGATCCTGTCTCAGTCCAATATCTGACCCTGCAACCGTTCCTGCTAGACGGTTCCCTCATTCCTGGTATTTGCATACAGTCGTCTAATACAATTGAGGGGATCTATTGCAACCGAATTCTGTATTGGATATTCACTTGGAGTCAATGGACCGTAAGTTCTTCTTAGTACATATATCCAATTTGAGATTCACCCTGCTGATGGCAATTCTGACTTATGCATTACCAGAGGATCAAGGCCACCAGAAGAACATTCAGTTCAGGGGAAATAACACGAGGTTTCTGTCCTCTCATCCAAATGAGCAAGAACCTCCACACACAATCGTAGCTCAAGCATGGGGGAAAACTCCGCCCAATACAGGACAGAAGCGAGGGCCCCGCCCACCCCTACTGAGATCAGTTCCCTCGCCCAGCCACTCAACCCACATGAGAAAAATCTTCCAGAATGCTACTACGTCCCTGCACTCAGCTGGGCGTATATTAGGCTCCTCATCCATACCGAGAGTATTAGCATCTGAGGGCGTGGATATTCAAATTCAAGATAATGATACTTACGAGATCTCGGAGAAGCGCTCAGAAGACAATCATTTTACATTTACTGATCAGCTGCCTTCACCGTTGCTGCTGCACCCTGTAGTATCTCCGAATGGGACGCGATGGACAGCGGTACCAATGCCGGATGAGCCCATCAGCAGCGGATTCCATTCTCCGTGCTTTCCTCATCAGACTACCTCTCCAAGGTTTGCCAATTCGCAGTATCTAAGCCGAAGTAAGCCCAAGAGAGTACCTCTGCCTCCCTACCACACAGGAAGTTCACCATTGGATTTGGCAGAAACAAAACTTGCCCAACGTTTTCAAGAAACTTCCATTATCTGACGTCCAGTCCTGGCTCGATGGGTTATGTGACGAACCTTCAAGTGACATGCACGAAATGCGATGACTCTCCGTCTATAAGCAGGGTGAAAAGGGAAAGAATCGTTGGTCCCTAGCCAGCACCACTCTTCTCTTGGATGTAATACGGAAAACAAGCGACATTCGTCATCCACCTTTATAGTCCGGGTTCTAAACCAGCCTCCTTCCCCGGCGAATAAAGATTCCGACTCCCTGTTACCTATAGACTCTTCCCCCACCGCTATCCCTAGGCCCAACAGATCTAAGTATAATGCTCCTTCAACTCCTGTTCTTGTACGCAAACCCCACAAATGCTACACTTCCCCAAGGTCTCAGGGAAGAGGACACATCTCACCCACCCTCCCACGCGGCCACTTCATGCTCCCACCACGAC